TATATTATAATTAAATAATAAAAATAATTATTCTAAATATTAATAAATATTATAATATAAAAATAATTAAAAATCGAAAAAAAAAATTATAATAAAAATATTTATGAAATAAAAGAAAAAAATATTACATTAATAAAGAAAAAAATATTATAATATATTTATTTTAATATTTAAAAACTAAAAATATTAGTATAATATAAATATAATAATAATTATAATATAAAAGAAAAATATATGACATTAATAAAGTAAAAAATATTGTAATATATTTATTTGAATATAATAAAATTAAAATATTAGCATTTAATTAATAATAATTATAATATAAAATAAACTAGTTACTTTATAAAATTAATATATTAGCATTTAAAAACATATATGTAAAAATGTAATACATATGTATAAAAAAATATATATAAATTAATATAAATGAATATATGTAATTATCGTATTATATAAATTAAAAAAAATATTTACTAATTATTACTTTAAATTGTTCATTTAGGGTATTCGTATAGCTGAACAAGCTGACCGTGAGGACCCGGCCGACAATATTATGCATGGTTCTGGAAACCGACACGTTATAAGTCGGGGTATAACTGCGTCCGGTCGCCGCACTCGGGAGGACGTGATCAAAGAGGCTCGGATGTTACAAACTGGTCAGGTTGGCCAGTCCGACAGTTCGAGACTTCACGCACCAGCCGTACCGGTTGGTCAGCAAGGGTATGGCCAGGCAGGCAGTTCTAGAGTCCCCGTCCCGGGACCATTACTGTACGATCATGATCAGCATAGATATTATTATGCTGGCCAGGCAGGCAGTTCGATACCTCGTGCACCAGCACCGCACGGTCAGCAGGTATATTATGCTGATGAGTCGGTAGCCCAGACGGAGCAGTCTTCTGACGAGTCCGCATCATATGACGATGCGGACGATCCTGGACTCCCACCGCATCATACACCTCTTGCTCAGCATACACCTCCTACACAACATGCGTCTCCTGCACAGCCTGCGGTTCCTGTACAGCCTACGGCTCCTGTTCGGCCTGCTATTCCACGACAGGCTGGTGGGCGTTTTGCTAGCACTGGATCCTCAGGTAAATAATTTAAGTATTTTTATTTCGTTTGACATTAATATTTCGACTTAATCGCAACAAATTATCAGTACTGTTAGTGACATTGTGACACGGGTCGTGTGACACTCACACGACTGTGACACGGGTCGTGTAACACTCACACAACTAGTGTCACTTGACACACGAGTCGTGTGACCCATGAAAAAATTGTCGATTTGGCTACAACTTTTTCACACGACTCGTGTGACAGTGAGACACGGGTCGTGTGACACTCACACGACTCGTGTCACTTAGCACACAAGTCGTGTGATTCATGAGAAAATTGCTGATTTAATTACGGCCTTCTCACACGACCCGTGTCACACGGGCACCCGAGTCGTGTGAGCCCACACGACTCGTGTCATACTATCACACGAGTCGTGTGACCCCACACGACCCGTGTTATTCTGTCGTGTGATGGGTCGTGTGGACCTGAGTGTATGT